ATAAAGTTATATCTCCAGTTATAAGAGATGTAACTCTTTTCATCGAATAATGCAATTTTTTATTTAATTTGATTTTAAATAAAGTTATTTTAAATTCAATCAAATGTATAATTATATAGGGTGTCCGAGAAAAATGTCTAAAATGATACCATAGATTTTTTTTCTCGAAAATACGCCGATTTAACTTACCTCTATGTAAAGTTGCTTCTTTTAGCCGCTAGATGGCTTTAAAATTTCCAAATTAATTTTATATTAATTCAAATATCTCAAAAAGTAATACATAGATTTTATTAATATTGAAAACATTGTTTTTGGTACATAAACACCTTTGTTATAAACCTACAGGGGGTTCAAAAACACGAATATCGAAATAATCATGTTTTGCAACCAAATAATCTGTGGTACTTCATTCTTTCCGGGACATCCTGTATGTCCTATTGTTTAAAGCAATACGTATTTTTGTATAAAAATGCGGCGCGCGTTCCCATTGTATGCAGCATCGTTGTGACGTCATCAGTGACGTCATCAGCGTGACGTGGTTCAGAAGGTGGGCGGGTGTTGCGGGGGGCAGGGAGTGGTGAGCACCTCACCTCCGCTCTCTGTGATTGCCACCGTCTTGTGGTACTTTATGAGATCGGCTGAAATATACAGATAAAATATTTTTTAATCATAAAGAAAAAAGTTAAATAATCATAGAAAAAATATTTTAATTGATAAAATGAATATGTGCTATATTTGGTTCGTTGTTTTAGCATCTATGATATTGTGACGTCATCTGTTGAGTATTGAACGCAATTTTACGTCAATAGATAGCGTTCTTAAAATATTATAAGTCGATAATGAGATTTTTGTTTCAGAAGAAAATCTATCATCAGATTTAGACACGATTGTGTGCATTATGTATGTAAACACACGCTTTTCTGTTATTTAAGATGTCAGCATTGACATAAAATTTAAGAATAGTTATTTTTTTTTAATAAGAAGCTCTTTACTTATACTATGCTATATGCTATATGTGGAGAATAAATTGGAAAAAATTGTTCTGGGAGAGCGAGACAAAAACTACAATACTGCCAATAGCAGCAAACAAAGTAATGTTTTTGCTAATCTATACTAATATTATAAAGCGGAAAAGTTTGTTTAAGCGCGCTAATCTCATGAACTACTGGTCCGATTTGATGAATTCATCTTTTTGTTGCATAGTCCATTTATAGAGGAAGACTTTAGGCTATGTAACTACGCTGCAACCAATAGTTTTTTTTTAATTCCGCGCGGTTGAAGTCGCGAGCGACAGATAGTATGTAATATGGCATGTGTGAGAGGGAGATGGAGATATTTGAGGCGAGGTAGGGTGAGGGAGAGTACCGAGCGAGGTGTGGGTGGTGGTGGCGGCGCCGAGCAGCCGGTAGCCGCGCTCCGCCTCCACCAGGTAGTGCTTGCAGCGGTCCTGTGCGCGGTACGAGAGCGCGTACCCCCACACGCGCTCCGACACGCGCA